TTCCTCTCAGACAAACACAATTAACCAGTCACTTCAGAAACACTTATCTTTTTCCTCATGTTAGACAGAGGGCAAAGTTTACTCACTGCTGATTAACGATTAAAATCTTGATGTCTCCTCTCTTCCTGGGTTCAAGTCTGGAACTCAGCCCTTATCAGCCGGTCACCTTCAACCAGTTTCTTCACCTTCCTGTGCTTAGGAACCTCATTTTTAACATGAAAAAGACTTACTCCCATGGTTGTTTAGAATTTAAGATGAGCTCATGTTTATAATAACTTAGAAGCTTAAAGGCTTCTGGAGGGGAGGAGTTAGCTTGTTGGTTTGCTTGTTTAGTCTGTTTGTTTCTAGAAGTGTTAGGTGCATACATAGTAGACACCCACTAAAGAGCTGCCAAATAAATGACCAGTATCCTGATCTTCAAAATCTACCTACTCTGCCTATTGCTTTATGCATCACGCAAGAGTTACAGCCATTCCTGGGCCTCCAATTACTCCCTCCGCTAGTCGGAGCATTTTTCTGAAGTGCCACAAGGTGGCAGCATGAGTCTCCTTTTGAATGAGTGGAGGGCTGGATTTCCTTGTCTACAGCAGGCCCTGCAGCCCCTTCTCAAGCCCGCCCATCCCCGGGGCTTTTAGGTTTGCCCCCATCGGTATTAACTGCACTCTTTGCAGCTCTACGCTTGAGCTAAAGACAAGAGTTCTGCTTATAGAGAGGTAAAAATGCTGGTATGACTCCACGGTTGCCTCCCAGCAGCCCTGTTTAGCGTTCCTGAAGCTCTCTTTCTCTAACAACGCAATCTCTTGTCTCAGAGACACGATGTCAAACGACATTGTCATCTTCCCATCCTGTAAGAAACAACAAACCAATTAAAGCCTGGTCTCCTAAGAAAAAACAAGGCCAGTTCTGCAAGGGAGCAAACAAGACCTTCTGGGGGAACCGTGCAAGGCCTTTTGGGGAGCCACTGGGAGGACGTGGACGCCTTTGAGTATCTTCCAGAACAAGGCCTTGTGGGATGAAGACGGTCTTGATTTAGAAATGAACAAATCTGCCTTCTAGCAGGGCTTTGGGGATTTCCTTCCCTCCAACCTAAGCCAAGCTCTCCTCTCGGTTTGGGCCTTTCGGAAGCGAGCATAACAATAGGTCTCCCCCTGCGTGCTGGGGGAAGGGGAGAATTGTTCTGTAAATTACACAGCAGGACAGACTTCGCACTGCCGCTTTAAGAATCCCCTTCACCTTCTCGGTAGGAAACCTGCTCCACCCAGTTGAAGGGGCTTGCCTAGACGTCCTCCTCGGTGAAATGGGACTAATGAAAACTGAAGTTGCCTGTGTTGTAGGAACAGTACTCATTAATGCATTCTTTCCTTTCATCTTTGCAGTTCTGGGGACCAAATTCAAGGCTTCCTAACATTCACCTGTCCATTGTGTCCCAGGTGATTTCAGGTGATCTTTCATTTTTCAAACCTTTTTGAGTCATCCACAGAAGAAAATGCCAGCCTCATTGAACAGTTTTGAGGAGAGTGAAGATCAGGCTGATTCCTCAGTTTGCCTCAGGCCAAACCGCAGAGAGCGGAGCTTCTGACCTAAATCCCTGCTCCATCCTGCTTTGACTAAGGAGGAAAAGTGTGGAGTTACTCAAACGATCCCATCCAATGTTCACCGTAGCAAGCCAGCCAGCTCTGTTAAGTATGGACCAGAGGTGGAGTGTACCAGCTTTGAAGAACCTGGATAGATGGGCACTTTCGACCTAACTGGATGTGTTCTGAATTTTCACAACATGGGGCTCTGACTGTTTGCGTACACAAGCTTATATAGAGGGACTCTGACACTTTTTCCCTCAAATGAATACCTGTTTTTCCAAAATAAATAAATAAATAAAAATGATTAATGAGCTATCCAGGGTTAAAAATGGTTAAGTAGATACTAGGGGTTAAAAGAGAAAGATAGAAAGAAAGTTATGAGGTAAGGGGAGGTCCTAGGAATGAGGGCTATTAAACCCCTTGGGAGGGAGGTTATTTAAGAATGACGCTGTTGTTGCCACGCGTAGTAAGAAACTCTTAAAAAGCCATTCAGCCCCGCTGATGTGATAGCTTTTACACAGCCACGCTAGAGAGCTGGCTGTCATTTTAATGCGTGAGTTTGAGTAAGCAATGTTTACCAGGAATTTTAATTACTTAATGACTTTGAAATGACACCACTGTAAGCTATCATCAAGTTGGTTTCGCTGCATTTTATTTGGTGGTGAGATGGTTCAACTGTCAGGTTTAAAGCTGTGGAGAGGGAGGGCCAGTGGGGGAAGGATGAACTAGAATGAGAAGAAGGTAAAGTCAAGAGGCCTTCAGATTTATATATCTGGCCAGGCATACTTGTATCGAATTACCTAAAGAATTAGATTGACACTATATTTTATGACTTGTTCAAGTCAATTTTAATGAGTGTTTCAAATATTCTGTTCCCCTGAGAGCCATCCAAATATAATCTTGTTTGCATAGAACTGCACGCATCAATTAGCATCGCGATCTTTTCGTTAGGAAAAGTAATGGCCCGCAAAGCCCTAAAAAATGGAAGTAGAGAGTCTTTATTTAAACACCCATGTATCATCCTTTTAATCTGCTTTTGGGATAACAGATTTTTTTTTATCTTTCTTAATAAGTCATTAAACTTAAGCCAGAGAACCTTACCATGAAATAGGTTCCTTGAACCGAAGCTGGTGTGGCCTGAAGTTATCAATCTGGGTAATTTGTAGAAACAGCAAGGCTGCTTTAGCAAGTATTCCACTGGACAATGAGAGAAGTTTGGCTTTGAAAAGGCATTTGTTTTCAATGAGACCATCTTCCAGATGGAGGAGCAGGTGGGGGGTGTATAAAGGAGGATGACCCGACCTCACTGAGCTCTTAGGAGCGGTGGGTGTCAACACTGCTTCTTCAGCTCCCCAAGACAGGCCTGGGGGGGGGGGGCGGGCCTTGGAGAAGCAAACTGCGCCCCCTCGCGAAAAGTGAAATAAGATAAACTGTGAAATGGGGGCCCAGATCCTTTGGGGGGCCCAAGCATGGGGGAAAAGGGTAGAGAAAGCTGCAGAAGGTTTGCAAAAGCGGCCTTTCCTTTCAGATTGGAATTCCCAGGTGTGGTGACTTTGGGTTTCAAGGAGGGCTATGGCTGTGAGGAGTGTTGGGTGGGGAGCGAAAAGACACTGCTGCCCCGAATTCCTTTTAGAATGCTATACATTATGACATTAGCGTCTTGCTGCTATTTTAGCAAGTCAGAGACTATGCTGCGTCTTCTGAAAGGGGAGTTAAGGGAACTTTTCTTAGCTGCCAGGGGCTTTTGCCTGCTCTCATTTGAATGGGGATATTGCCTCTGACTGGCAGCTGACATGCCCACTCCCAAGGTTCCTTGGTGCAGCTTGCTCTCGCCCGCCAGTCTCACTGTTAACCAGTTCCAATCTGAGGTTCATTCAGCATGCCTCAAACCTTGGCCACTAAAGAGAGTCAGTGAGGATAATACTATATATAAATGACTAGTTTCTGGTAACACACACCAAATTATACTGAGGTGAGTATTACAAGAGTGACCTAAACAAAATATGGATGGTGAAATTAATTCGGCGCAAGAATCAAGCCAGGGCACAGACAGGAGGTGAAAGGTCAGGGTGCACAGCAGAGGGACAGTTTGTTAGTTAGGGGAGAAGGTCTACAGTGCAGGCAGAGGTGTAGGACAGCAGGGCGGTGTGTTGAAAGGAATATTCAAGGTGGTTGGAGATGGTATATATACAGGTTTACAGAATGGCCCAGTAAGGGGGTCAACCAATGATTCGTACTATGCATCCAAAAGCTAGAACCCGGAGCTGGAGAGATGGCTCAGTGGTTAAGAGTAATGAGTGTTCTTGTTGAGGACCCCAGTTGGGTTCCCAGCACCTACAGCCCCAGTTCTAGGGGATCCGACACCTCTGATGCCCTCTGTGGGTGCTGTGTGCACATGGTACACACACATGCGTGCAGGGAAAACACTAATGCATACAGAATAAATAAATCTTTTTAAAAAACTAGAGCCTTTAATCCCAGCTCTTGGGACAGTGCAGTGAGTTCAAAGGACTGGTTCCAGGGAGACCCTGCTTTAAAAAAAAAAAAAAAAGCTAGAACCATTTCCATGTGCGTGTTATGAAGACCTCTGGAAGAAATGTACATTTGCACACGGTGTGTGCTACGGAAGACGTAAGGGAAGGCGAAACGACGCATAATCAACACTATGAGAGCATCCAAGGGAAAACATTAGATTCCTTGAAAGTCAAGGCCAAGACCACCCTTGCTGCTCTGGCGTTCCCCAGGATGGGACAAGTACACTGAAGGCTAGCTGGACTAGCAAAGGGGTGCACCGATGGACCTGGATTTGCTATTTCCACATTCAGGGATAAAAGTATCGGCCCAATTTATGGAGTTCTTCTGATGGATGCACAAGTGCTACTCTAGAAGCGTATGTGGATTAGTCAATTATATCCCCACCGCGGCTGCTTGGGGAGAAACACTTAGTGTCCGCAGTTTACTCATGGGGAAACTGAGGCACAGAGACAAAGCGGGGGTTCTAGACCAGGGGGTCTGACTCCGGAGTCTTTTACACCATATGATCTTATGAACCTAGCACAACTATCCAGTGCTGAGTGTTAAAACCAAAACAACAAACCCAGCTTTCCTTGAAAATTGTATTTTTAGGATAATCCCATTCAAGGCTGAAACTTGTAAATAAATAAAAATGCATTTTGGTATTACAGACCTCCCACTGCGCCCCCTACCTAATCCAAGGCCAGAAAGAAAATATTTCTTTTTATTTATATATATATTTTCCTTTTGTGACACTTTGGAGTTTCTGAACGCTAGGGGCTCCCGGATTCTCTGGTTTGAGAGCAACTTTTTCTTTTGGCTTTTTTTTTTTTTTTTGGAAAGGGGGTGGGGGAAATGTGGCCTTAATTATCCTACGTTTTAGGCAGCTTAAGGAAGGGGCTGTGCTTTCAGAATCCTGTCGAAGCCAAGTAAGGAGGTCCTTCTCCTCCCCCCTCGCTTTTTAAAGGAGCTCGTGAAATATAAGCTCAGAAAACAAACCGAGCGATCACAGCGGCAGCCCGGGCGGCGGCAGCAGCAGCAGGAGGAGGAGCAGGAGGAGGAGGCAGAGTTGGGCAGACGCTGCCGAGAGCTGCAGGACGCGGCCGAGTTGCAGGACTCCGCGCGGCTCCATTCATTAAGTAGCTGCGGAGGACTGTGGCGGGACGCCGACGCTGCCCACTCGCAAACTTCAGCACGCAGACGCACGCCAGCCGTGCTCGTCCCGGGCAGCGCAGCGCTGCAAAAGTTCCTGCTCGGGCTTTGGCTCTCTTCCCCTTGGACTAGCGAACAGTTTGGGCTTGAGAGGAAAGCAGAGGCGCCCAGAGGGGAAACCTATCCGCGCCTGCAGTTGGAACTACTCGGCCGCCGCGTCCCGAGCCCGCAGTTCCGCTCCTGAGCAGCGGCGGCCCGCAGCGTCCCGAAAGGCTCTCCGCTGCCAGCGCCATGCAAAACTACAAGTACGACAAGGCGATCGTCCCTGAGAGTAAGAACGGCGGCAGCCCCGCGCTCAACAACAACCCGAGGAAGGGCGGCAGCAAGCGGGTGTTGCTCATCTGCCTCGACCTCTTCTGCCTCTTCATGGGTGAGCGCAGTCCCACTGGTCACCCCCCTCCTGGCCCCGGGCCCCGCCGCGCTGTCAGCCCCGGAGGCCCCGCAGCCATCCTCCGGGCGCCGTGCTAGCCGCGAGCTCCCCGCCCTCCCGGACCCCCAATCCCAGACCTGCGAATACAAGTTGGGGCGTGCTTGTGCATTCGCGGCAGCTGGAAACTGCTCCTTAGGGGTAATCTCTAGTTGGGAGCCGGACACAATCCCTCGGAAGATGTGAGCTCGAGCTCCACGATCTGGAGGCAGCCTGTGGCTCTCCTCCCTGCATCCGAGTCTGTGCGAGACCTATTTAGGTCTCTGGGCGAGCCGGGCTCCTATGGTAGTGGCACCGCTGGTCCCGGCTGCATGTAAACATCCACCCCTTCCGTCGCTCTGCCTTGCAGGGCCAGTCGCACAAGCTGGTCGTGGCCCTCGCTGCTCGCTAGGCTGAAAGCCCCCGGGGAGGGAGGGGGACGGACAAACTGGGCTCTTCCCAGCCAAGTCTTGGGCACCGAGGAGCGCATCACTTGTTGAGCGCCTACTGTATGCCAGGTGGTAGGTAGCTTCGCGGGCATCAGTTTTAAACCAGCTCACTCCCTGATTTGTGCAAGCAGGGGCTAGGAGTCGCGTTCACCCAGAAGGCCACTGAGGGAAAGCTAGCCGTGGTCTTGCTAGGGGATTAAAGTTGAACTGCACTCCCTCAAAGTTGAGGCGCTAGCGCACGTCTGTTTCTGCAGAACAGATGTAAGCTCCAGCTGGAAGGGTGGTGGGATTCAAAGAAGTGGGGTGGGGGGGAAATTTATTGAACCAGGCTCGGGGAGAGAGAAACTATTGACGCGAATCCACCGTAGTTCCAAAGTTGAAGTAAAAATAGGACTTTTTTTTTCTTTTAAGCGAATTTTGATGTAAACCAAAGTGTGCAAAACTAGTCACCAAAGCCTTGCCCCTCTGCCTCCAGATGGATGTGCCACCTCAATGCCCCCTTGGCCTCAGTTTCCTCCTCAGTTGAATGAGTAGGTTCAAGTAGATGGTCTGTGAGGCCCCTTCCTGCATTAAGAACTCGGATGCCGTCCAGGAGCTGTTCTGCCAACACTGCTAACTGCAGAAACATCTGTGTTCCCCGTCCAGTTCCCCACAAATAGAACTCCTGCACGGAGGCTCCAGTCCCCTTGGAAGGGGTTATTCCTCAGATTGTGCCACCCTGGGTTTGCTGCCTTGTCTAGGACTCTTAGGCTTGCCCAATCACCCTCCGAGAATTTTGTGAGCCGGTGGCTTTCTTAGAATTTAAAATTAAGTATGGCCCTCTTCAGACTGAGGGGGTTGAAAGTAAGATTGCAGTCCGTGAAAGGGAAGGGAGCTGGTAGTTCCTGTGGATCCCATTCCCGGCTCAGTGATGCTAAGTAGAGCTGCTGTCACCGGGGACCGGGCCTACCTTCCTGGTGGCAGCAAGCTTATTAGTATGCAGAGGGAGAGAGATGAGTTGTTGAGTTTTTTAAGGATCCTCCCAGGTTCTGAGGGTGTGTGTGTGTGTGTGTGCGCGCGCGTGCGCGCGCTCACGGGGGAGCAGGGATAATATGGCCAAAGTAGTGAAAAGGTTGAAGCTGTCTGTGTACAACAAACTTGTCTGAGTTCTCCCGGGGTTTGAGTGTATCCTTGGTGGGTGGGATTAGCGCTTTCTCTGTTGCAGGAGGAGGAAAGCCCCCTGCCTCCTGCTTTAGCATTAGGAAAGCTAGATTCCCCCTCCCCCATGTGTTCCTTGCTTAGCTTCTGCACTCTTCTGGTTGGGGTGGGGGATGCTCTCAGAGATGTTGCATTCTTAGAAAAAGCAGTGTTGGGCAATGTGCAGAGAGCAATCCCTGTCAGCTATAGTGTAAGCAGGGGCAATGACACCCCGATAGGTTTTTCTGTGTTTTCGGGGTGGAATGAAAAGGTGTGGTGTATGTGCATGGCTCTCCAGAGAGAAAATTCTAGACCAGTTGTCCAACTTAAGCAGACGCACCAACTGTATGACAGCATCACTGGTTAAACAGCCCCTAACACCTTTCATTGGAAAAACTATCTGAAAGATTACCACGTATCTTGAGGTGGTTATGCAACATAACTCTGGCTTCCAAAAGAAGACTTAATAATACAACATGTGATTTTAATATTCTACACACTGCAATCCTAAAAAAAAAAAAGTTTCTACTTGGTTCGGTTTTTGCCTAAGACTGTCAGTATGATTTAATTTTTCTACAGTTTATTGATCATATGGTCTGCATTACAGGGTACTAATATATTAGGAAGAAAGACAGCTTTCTGTTTATTCTCCCATAGGAGTATAGAGCAAACTTCGTCTCCTAGTATCTGGAAAAACTAAAAGCTGATGTGCTCTGTGCCTGTTGTGCAAGTGGAAATATGCGAGGCGTTTAACTTGCTTCAGATACCTTTTCAGAATGTTAAATTCTGGGTGAAAACCAAAAGGTCCGCTCTTGTTTGAAGGTCAAAAGAACGTGGTGGTGGAGAACCCCTGCCGGGAGCTTGCACCCACCCTTCCACAGTTACCCTTGTCCATTGATTGCTTTTAAATACAATTGCAAATCTTTGCACGGTAGATTTTCTGAAGTCCTTTTTGTTTTTTGTTTCAATTAAGCACCCCCTTATCACCTTTTCTTTTTTTTCCTCCTTCACATTAGTTCTGGTGTGTGGAGTTCCATGAGAACCACAGAGAAGATTTCCTATTGTCCAAGTTCTGTTAGTCTCTTTTAAAAACATAAATTATTTAATAGGCTTTTCACTTTCCCGCCTAGAAAGCTATCTCCGTGGTATAGACCAGAAAAAGTTCCTATCACGGTAGGAAGAGCAGATTATCAAAGATTAGATCGTCCCCGATTCTCAGTTGGCGGAAATGGAGTTCTTTATCCCATTTGGAGATTGCTGAAACTCAGACCCCATGACAAATCTTCTAGCTCAGTTGCGGAACAGCCTACCTCTTATCCTCTTCACGTTCCCCAGGTATCCTTTTGGACCAAAGCAGGAGGATAAATGATGTCTAACTCTTCTGTCAGCAATACAGAACGGGGTGGTCAACAACCACACCATTCAATCTGGCTATTCTAAAATGTTGACAGTTTTGATTTGCAATAGCTAGGATAAGATCCTTAAAGCTGGCTCTGGACCTGGTATACATAGTGTCATTGTTACTGGTTCACAGTCTTCATGATTACCGTCTCACTATTTGATGATGAGAGGGCCAGTGGGGTGTAGAGAACAGAATAGAACCCTGCCACACAGAAGCCAAGGTTTCTTAGGTGGTGGCTGGCTGATCCCAAATCTAGTTGCATGTTGGTGGACACACTGATTTTTCATGAACTTTACATTCCCCGCCCCCCCCCCACACAGAATGACTCGTTAAGTGGGATTGTGTCTAAATTCCCAGACCACTATTGAATACTCTGGGATCCAAATCTCACAGAAAGGAAAAACACATTTCTGCTTTTTTTTTTGGGGGGGGGTTTTGTTTTTTGAGACAGGGTTTCTCTGTGTCACTTTGTTACCTGCCCTGGAACTAGCTCTTGTAGACCAGGCTGGCCTCGAACTCACAGAGATCCTCCTGCATCTGCCTCCCGAGTGCTGGGATTAAAGGCATGTGCCGCCACTACCCGGCTTCACATTTCTGCATTTTCTAGGGACTGTTGCAAAAAGAAAAGAAGGAGCCCAGAGGTCTGAGTTCCAATCTTGAATTAACTTGTCACTGTGCGATTTGGGCAAATTCACTTGAACTTTCTGGGCATGGATTTCTTTATATGGCAGCAAAAGAGAGAGCCTAGGTCATCTTAAACGCTAACTCTACACAGTTTTGTGAATATGCTGACAAATAGGCTGGAAGACCCTCAGACCTGACCAAAGAAATAATGAAGATTAGTCTAACTTGGTGCTGACTGGAAAGTTCCCCACCTCTTGGCTGGTTGGATCCTTTGACCTGCTTTCTGGAATTCATAGTAATTAAAGGCACACAAGTAAACAAGCCCAGCCCAGGCCTCTCATGTTCTTGTGGCTCCGTTATTGTGTTTACTGTGTTTGAAATAAGTCACTGAAGCAGTCTTGGTTTTGATAACTTAATGTACCATGGAGCCACAGAACATAGGAACAAATTTTCACGAATCTGCTGTTGAGCCACCCAGCCAACTATCCTGCATGCATTGTAACAAACATGAAGGTAGCCTGAGCTTCGTCGGTAGACACTGCTGGCTTTTCCAGGACAGTGGAAAAACCTATGTCCTTATTGTCCAAAATTGCCACCCCACTTATACTACCCATTTTCTTTTCCTTAAAGGTTTCTTAAAGAGACACCTTGGAGGTAGCTGCCTGGGTGGGAGCGCTTCAAAATTGGAGTTGGTGGCCCTTCTATTTATAGCCCTTGGCATGCCTGTCAATTTGAGACTTGTTCCTTCCTCTGCAGTTGTCTTGGTTGGCAAAGCCCAGTTGGTCACAGCGTGATGCCGATGACACCGTAGTCAAGGGCATCGTTTCTGTGTAGGTAGTAATATTTTGGGAGAAGCCCCACCTCTCGGGTCAGTTCGGCTCTGCACAGTATCAAGAGGAATCTTTAATGTGGGTAGTGTCTATTACGTCCATGTTTAATGAACTCACCTGATGAGAGAACCATCTGGTGTGAGATTCAAATTCTACGTTTCCCCAGGGGCTTTGGGCAGGCCCTGGGATCCTGTATTTTCATAAAATCCTTGGCTGATTTTTATCAGGCCAGTTTTAGAATCACTGTGTTGTGTAACACTCGATGTCTTAAGGGCAATTGAATTATGCAGTGGGCTTTTTTGTCCCTGCACTGAATGTTCCAGCACTTTCTGCGTTGTTAGGCTGTGTTTTGGGTTTGTTGTTGACCATGCCTCTGTCTCTTCCGAGTGTGAAGAGGTGTGTGAGGGAAAGGTGAAGCGGGCCTATGTGAGATTACTGTGTAGAGGCTTAAATAGATCCAAGTTAATTTGACAGAGTATTGGG